CTCTCTCTCTCTCTCTCTCTCTCTCTCTCTCTCTCTCTCATACTGCTACAATCCAACAATTCTCGTCTTTTCCTTCAGCTAAGGCCTTCCTTGCCCCTCTCTCTCTCTATCAAGACTTCATTTTGCATTTGGTTTGTTCAAGTGGGTTATTATTCACAATTCTGGGTAAAAAAAAGGGGTATTTTGAAGAGGTCGTGGCTGAGGCCTGAAGAATGGGGAGAGGACTAAAGAACGAGGAAGAATAGAGAGAGAGAGAGAAGAAGAACAGAGAGAAAGAGAGGGGGTGGAATCCGATAGATTAGAGGAGCCAGAAGAACGGGGAAGAATATAGAGAGAGAGAGTCAAACGACCTGAAAATTGGAGAACAAAGAGAAAGATAGTGCTTTTTTCTAAAGGCTGCCCTGGTTTTAGAGAGAGAAAGGAGTGCCCTTCTCCCTAGTGGTGTGATTTTTAGTAGAGAGAGAGAGAGAGGAGGTGCCTCTCCAGTGGTATGAAGGTGTGATTTAGAGAGAGAAAGGGGGAGGCCTCTCCAACGGTGTGATCTAGAGATAGAGAAAGAGAAGAGGCGCCTCATTTAGAGAAAAAGGGGAGATTTTTCTCACTTAGCAAGAGACTATACACTTCCTAAAACAGTAATTAGTCTGTTAGAGCTGAAAAATGAGAAACACAAAAAAAAGGGGGGCTCAAAGAGCGTTGATTTCTGGTGGATTGTTCAATCCACCAATTTTGCTGAAACGGATATCCAGATATCTGATGGAAACATGCAATCTAGGGAAAGACTCGGTTAATTCCCAATAACATCAGGGACCAGCCCCATCAGTAACGATCCCAGGTCTAAATTGGCATTTTTTTAAACACTATTGGGATATACCATATACGCAACATCATGATGATTGGAATCATAGAGCCCGGGGTGAGTTTAAGACTCCTCATCACTCATTTGGCATTAGATTATTTAATTTGACTTGTATATTTGAAATTTGATTGCTTCTATAGATCAATTGTTATATACTCCATAAGAGAGAGGCGACAAGAGAAATGTAATGGATGAGTTAGATGTAACAGCAGGGCAAGTGGATCAAATGACATGGAAAGAGGGTCTTAAAAACCAAAAACAAGAAGAGGTGAATTAATAAGAACATACAGCAGGATAATAGCCACACACGCATTCAGGTACTAGTCAGTAAAGGTAACAAGTAGGATGTTCATTAAGAGATATACCATAGGAACATGAGAGCAGCATGCCAATCCGAGTAGCACCTTGCTCATGAGGAAGACAACGATAAGAGCTCTAATAGCCAATAAGGCCACATACATGCATCAATGAACAGGATGGTGTTTGCTGTTAAGAAACAGCTGTCTAAGTACATTCACAGAAAAACAACATTTAAAGGATGATTACTTAAAGAGTTGAAAGTAAAGATATATTAGAGGAATCATTGAAGGTTTTGGACCATAGCTGCCAGGATCTCCAAACAAAGGTGGCGATTCTGCTCCACATTCTCTGCAGCGCTCCAGGAAAGGGATCTCAATTTTAAAAGTTTGGGATCTTCATCCCCACTGTTACAGAGCCCAAATTCCTATTGTTAGGGATCTTGATCACAACCTTAAGACCAAGATAAGAACCAAACTTGTGATTTTCTTAAATCTATAGCCAGCTACCAATACAACTATAGTTTTAATATAGTTGCATTACTTACTCGCTATATATAAAGAGATCCCCACTTTTAAGAGTATATATAGTCCTCGACTATATATACTTTTAAGGTTTGGAGTCCCTAACATTTGGGGATGCAGATGCCTAACATATTCATTTGTATGGACAACACTACCAACCATAGGAATCTCCTAACATCTCACGATCCCCTGCTCCCTATCCTGATCCCAATCCCCCTCCTGCATCCAATCTCAACAACTATGTCTTTGACATGAACTCCCCCCTGTGCTTAACAATATGGAGAAATAAAGAAAATACTATGAGCTTTATAATTTACTCATGGATTAACATGCACTTAGGCCAAGACTAAGGGTGGCAATGGGCTGGGTGGTCCGGCCCGTCCCTCAAAAGCTAGGGCGTGGGTGACAAAATGTGGTCTGAGGAGCAAGCCAAGGCCGAACCGTCATGGCCCGAGGGTAGGGCCAAGCTGAGCTTGGGCCAGGACCATGACAGGCTGGCCCGGTTTGGCCAGGCCCCGCCCTTTTTCCTTTATTTTTCTTTGATTCTATTTGGGCCAGCCCAGCCCAGACAGGGCCAAGGCCAAGCCTAAGCCAGAGCCTCTTTGGTCAGTCAGGGCCAGGCGGGGCAAGGGTCGGCCCGTTGCCAGCCCTAGCCAAGACAAAATAACATATAAAGACAGCATAACACAAAGATCAAAAATAGATTAGGTAGCAAAAGCACCCCAACAACTAGAATATGAGAGATAAAACCCCAACAGATTGAGTAGCGAAGGAAATAAATTTGCTATCTGGGGTTGAACCAGGGATGCAGGGTTGCAATTGTCAACACTCTTGCCATCAAAACCAGGTCCCCAATTCCAAAGACAATAACAAAGTTACTGAGAAAAAAAAAGGCATGCCAGCTTGAATTCATTATAATGACGAATTTCAAGCGTTCAACACTTGCCCTCCCTCACACCAAGCCCAAATGTAGAAGGCATTAAGCAGGTCAGCTTTGTTTGGTCATTGGTACTCAAGGTGCAAAAGCACCTCACACAAACAGGGTGTCCTACCACGAGGGCAGGGTTTTTCCAACTTAAATCCTTGACATTGTTTTCTTTTTTTTTTCACTCCCAATAAATAAAAAGAAAAGTCTAATTGTCTAACCTATCATTACACAAATGCCATATAACTGAACTAGAAATTGATTTATGAAAAACCTAAAAATCTAAACATAGCAGAACTGTGTGACAAGAAGCATCAATACCACAAACTCCCCTAGCCAGCTTCCAGATGGATAAAATCACATTGCCCTTTCAAGTTCAGGCTATTTCATTTCATATCAAGAAGCATAACAAACCACATTCAGATGAGGAGAGACTAGATGTTACAATGTCAATATTCGCCTCTTACTGGTAAGAACAGGCTTAATTATCCAGAATAAATTCAACCACATATATAATTATATTAAATCGAGAAATATTGGTTACACCAATGGTCTCTTACCAATTTGTTTGCAACGCTCCGTCCCCATGAAAGGCGGACTGTCTGTTGACCAATTACAGTTCCATGAATCCTTTGCAATGCTTCTTCGGCAGAGGCCCTTCACGGCATAAACAAAAGAAAATAATTTATCCAAGACTAATATTGTAGAAAGGTTTAAAGAATAGAGCAAAGCATTGATCTAGCCCAAATATATATGGAAGAACGAATATGGTAATGAAGCCCCAATAGTGTCATCAACTTGCTGACAAAAACATCCATCAATAGGATCACTTTCTCCTGAATCAGAGGGTGAAAATACAATGAAAATAGAGAACCATACTAGAAGCATTCTTAAAACCAAATTGAATGTGTGGCAAATGGAGGGGACACTGGAAAAAGGCATCAAGAAAAAATAAAAACCTGCAATTAATAAATAATAAGAATGTGTTTACCAACCAATAAAAGAAAGGGGCCTTGAGTTTGTACGTTCAATAGCTAACTCAAACAGAAAAATTTCACAGCCTGTCACGATAATCCTCATCTTACCTATTGCTGAACTGGACAAATCCACATCCCCTACCCATCGGTATCTTAACATAGACAAGCTCCCCAAATTGTCCAAAGATCTGCTTCAGCTCATCTTCTGTAACATTAGGGTCCAAACCACCAACAAATATCTGCTGGGAAATGAAAGGTAAAAGAAGAATAAGCGCCCATGACATGCAGAAAGCATGCAGCAGACTAAGAAATATGAATTCACTTACTGTAGTATTAGTGATGTCATTATCAGTAGGAAATGCTTGGACAGGAGGAGTGGTGTAAGTTGGTACTTGATAGGCAGCCGCTGGACGAAACAATTCAAAATATTTCAGCATAAGACATTGAAAGATTTATCCAAGCCAAATCTAATTATGAGGATTTCTTCTATGGAAAGACACAATGTGCATTTCATAGTAAAAACAACAAATTATATATCAACACAATTGCAATGGGAAGCAAATTCAAAAGAAAAAGTGCCGACAGAAAGAATTTAATCAATCAGATCTAGTGACAATATGCCACAACAAGTTCCTTCAAGGTAGAAGTCATTATTCTCTAAAAATGTGCCCATTGAGACTGGTAAATATTAAGGGAAACACAATATGATTGGAACTTTTTACTTCTTCCTAAGGTAGACCAAGCCTGTCACAGAGAACATATCAAAAATACTGGTGCATCCAACCATGTGAAAAGTCATAACTTCTCCAAACTCTAAGATCATCTGGATTGCCATTTTGGAGCCCTAAGAAAATTCACAGGGAAGAGCTGCACACTATTTCTGTGGATATTTACCTTTAGGTGTTGCATACTGCTGCTGTATACCAGTAGATTTCTTTGGAGTGGCTGCACTTATGCGCATGGGTCGGGTTGAGCAATAGACACCATTCATCTCTGTCATGGCACGATTTCTTTCATTCTCATCAGAAAATTTAACAAATCCATAACCCTTTGAGCGCCCTGTGTTTGGATCAGTCACAACCTTGGCTCCTCTTACAGATGGGTATTGAGCACGGAAGGTCTCTTGCAATAAATAGTCAGTAACATCAGGAGCCAGATCCCCAACAAAGATGGAATGCTCAGGTCCAGCATCTGGGCGCCTTTCACCTATGCCAAAAGAAGCCCAATTCATCCTAAAACATTGCTCAGTTCCAGGCATCGGTGTTCCGTTATATGTTTGCAAAATCCTTTCAGCTGCTGCATGGGAAACAAACTCCACAAAACCGTAACCTTCTGGCTGACCAGTGATCTTGTTCCGTATAATTTTTATAGAAATCACCTATCATTCAAGCAAAATAATTATAAAGCAGCAATACAGAATTGATGAAGAAACTGTAGTTCCAACAGAAGCAGATCAATAAAGATATTATAGCTTCAAACATGCTGCCATTAATGAAAGAAATAAAAAGAATCAACACAAAAATGTAGCAAATGAATATTGGGGCTTTGGCACCATATCACCTACGAAATGTTGACTGAGCATTCCAGGGGTGGCTAAATCTCTGCAATAGAACTCTGTCTAACACCACTCCTATATTATTCACCCTGTTATCAAGCCCAACCACAATAACGGATGCAACATAATTTTTGCATCTGATACAGGAGATACAGATCCATCATTCTTCTCATTCAAGCTCACCATAACAATAGGAATTGAAAAATGCACAAATAAAGTTGATAACAGCTAAAAAACAATTAAGAAAAGAGAAATGACAAATAGGAAAAAAAAAAAAATTGAGAAATAGGAAAAAAAAACTTATCTTTAGACAAGCGACGTCACAATATAAAATACAATTACTGCATAGCTAATGCATAAAACTGCTCAAGACATAAGTTCCATTGTAACAAAAGAGCGATCACCCATTCCAAGCAGAAAATACCGAAACTCATAGAAAACATTGTTAGATACTGGCAAAGAATCCTATATATCCTCTTCAGGATCACGACTGTTTCAGTGTTTGAAACAACCAAGGCATGAGTGGCTGGTGTTTTTACTTTTTTTGTGAGACTAGATACAGGATGACATCGATATGTGAGGTATCAAAACGCAACCTAAAAAGAGAACCAAGGAAAACAATGTTCAAAAACCTGGTGACTGAAGCTCCGGAACCAACAGTGAATCAAAAAGCAGCCTGCCTAGTGCCTAGGTAGGTCTCTTGCGCGGGGAGTCCCTGGGCGGTCGCCTAGGCGCCATGGACCCCACCCAGGGGCAAAAAATGCCTCTCATTAAGGGGCAATTTTTGTCTTTTTTACCCCTAAATTAGGGAAAAAGGGTTGAATCTCTGAAATCAACAACTTGGGAGAGAAACTACGGACAACAACCGTATCCAACTAGATCACATATCTTTACATGATCCATGTGAGTGGTTGGTGCAAGTGGAGAACCACTTCTCAATAAGAGGTTACTTGTAGAAGAGTTTGGCCCTACTGAAGAGGAAGGGAAGGAAGGTGGAACTGAAGAGGAACAAGTTGGGGGACGTGCATAAGTTGGAGGAGGAGTAAAAGTTGAACAAGAGGGAGATGGAGAAAGAGATGATGATGATGATGAGACCACAAAACCAAACAATGGAGAGAAAAGGGGCACAAAGAGCAAGCACGAATAGATAGGTGGATGTAAGTACAAGGCAAGGACTAGCCTTGGAGGCTTGGGTTAGGAGGGACTAGTGAAGTTACCTAACTGACAAACTCATTCCTACAAACATGACCATGATTGGGGTGAGTACAAGCATCCCCATCATTAATACCAGTTGTAAATTGAGTTAGTTGGTGTGTATAATTGTAATTTTGAGTGCACCTATGGAACTCAATATTGTTATGTATTCCATTTGGACTGTTGATCAAGTACCTGGCGCTCTAAAGACTAAAACCCTCCATATCTATAAGTTTGTGTATTCTATTTGGATTGTTGAACAAGTACCTGGCACTCTAGCAATTAACCATATCTATAAGTTTTCTATTTTTGTTAAATACAAATAATATTTTTCTTTTCTTCTTTTTTCTTTTCCTCATTTTTGCATTTAAAAAAAATAGCTTTTTTTTTATTTGTTTATGCCGTTTTGGGGGGAATTGGGATGACTCACCGAGTTTACTCTGAGGGAACCATGCCCGAGTCTAAACATAGTAATGGCTTTTAAAAAGCTAAAAGAAAATATATGTACATATTATTTGGGCGTGGTTTGCATAAGGTTGCAACCTTAAACAATCCAATTAAGGTGCGCCTCTAAATTTTATAACAAATGTAATTTTGATATAAAAAATTCCTAGGATGGCTTGAGAATCCATTTTCATCTCTAATTATAAAATTTTAAACTCCAAAAATGGTTCAAATCAAGTAGATCTACAAACACATGAAAATCTTGCAAATGGATGGTCCAGATAATGTGTTGCAAGGTACACTATTTTGTGGATTCGAAATCTTTTTCATGCCATATTCATACATCTCGATGTCGACATGATCAATTAGAAGGTTTTCGAACATCCAAACAACCATTTATGATGGATTTTTGAGGTGTGTCTTTAATTCTACATAATGTGAGAATATTGTTTAACTAATTGTAAAACCTTCCAAGTGTAAAAAATAAGTTTTAGATACCCATAAGATTAAACTGTCCCCATAATACAGCTCTTCGTTTTTAAGATTGGTTTAAAATACTTTTGTCAAACACCAAACGTGAACATTGGGATGTAGTGAAGGAGAAGGGGTACATACAGAGCATACATTCGTCCATTTTTTGATGTTAAGATCATAGGTTTCAGTTGTAAGATAATAGATGATTTTACAAAAAGTATCCAACACTGGAGAATGCCATAGATTTATTTAGGCGATTGGCCGGTGGGGTGAGGCATTACTGAGGCTGTAACATATTTGTCGCCAAACATCTAACCTCTAGATCTTTTATCTCATTTTACTTATGAGGCCTTCAGGAAGCCAACTAGTTGTCCTCCCTTAAGTGGCATTTAATAAAGACAAAAATATGTCAGTAATGGAGCATGTTGAAAAGACCCATGTCAAATACAGCATTGCAGCACTAAGTGAAACCAGGGTTTGTAGCATCTAAGTTGACTTACGTATATCCATGCATGTGAAATTATGCAAAGATGGTGATGGGATGTGTTCTAGATTGCGGCTATGGAGTATGGAACACACACCCCCATCCCTACACACACCACCACCACCAACCTACCAATTGTCAGTCCCGGCTATCCCACAAATGTGAAATTTATACGATTAGATCATTGACATAGAACTCTTCACCTCTGGGTTTGCTACAAGTAAAGTCAAGTTATTCGTATTTACATCCTACAATTATTTTAACATGACATTGTCTGATTACTTCATCGCAAGTACGAACAGGAAAGAAATTGTATTCTTGCTCGCTATGTCATCACTATTCCTCCCTACAGTATCACTTAACAGGATTTATCAATTTCACAAACAAAACTTCAATAACCTTCGTCCAAGAACCAGATGGAAAATAAAAATACCTTGAAAAAAATAAACTCAGAAGTTAGCAGACATGAAAAACCTAGGAACAGTGAGTAAACCAGAGAGAAACAACAAAACCCTTAGAGAAAGCCAGCAATATACACTTGCTATGTCCTCACCATCCGCCCTTAAACTACCCAGTTAAATAAAACATTCTAATTTTCCAACAAAATCTTCAAAGCGATACTGAGCTGGAAACTACATAAAAAGCAAGAAAACCTACAAAATGAGTGTGCTCATCATCCAAACTTAAAACTATAACTCAGTCCAATCTCTGCTTTCACTAGGAAGAAAAGAATTAAAGAAACTTCGGAGTTAAATTCTGACTTGAAAAAAAAAAGTAAAGCAAAAAAAAAAAAAGGAATTGCAGTTTGCTAGGTTTCCATTCCTAACCTATTTCTTAACCAAATCTCTGCAATTCAACGAGAACACTTCAAAAACATATGGTCACGTAAAAACCTAATAGAAACCATAGAAAATCCTAGAAATTATCCATCCCTGAGCTCTTACTTCACCGGGTATCCATAACCAAATAAATGGGCAAGGTAAACGGGATATAAAACAATAAAGCCCTAGAAAACAGCGCATTCGAACCAGATTGATGATAAAATAGAAACCCTAGAAAAATTAGCGTGTTCATACCTCTCCTGTGTGGGAGAAACAAGTGTGGAGATAATTCTCATCGACCCAATACTGCAAATCCCCAATCCAAAGGGTTCGTATCTCTTCTACACTGGTCGGCTGATGATAGCTTTGAGAATGAGAAGAACTCCATGACGATGCTGAATGTTGAGCTTGATGCGATTGCAGAGCCATCCATGGCTGCTGCTGCTGCTGTTGATGAGGCTCCATGAAATCTTAGAGAGAAAAATTTTAGTGCGCGAGAGCTTCAAACGAAAGGCGCGTTTGCTAGTTTTATAGGGTCTGGTCCCACGCGCAAACATGATAGCACGTGTATGAACGATTGTTACCCCGTAAGATGCAATTGCCGTTATAACGTTTGTTGCGCCTATAAAGGAATATTTTATTATAGGAAAAACTATATAAATATCCGTTTTAGTTTTCATTATTATCAAAATACCAAGTATATTTCTTTATTATTGATATATCTAATTTTTAGACTTCATAACATTTTAAAAAAAAATATGAAACTACATATTTTCGATTTTTCAAAAACCGAAACCAAGTCAATTTCAGTTTTTGGAAAACCAAAAATTTTAACTTTTCGATTCTTCAAAAACTAAAAAAAAAATTTCCCTTTTACCCCTCTCTCTACTAGGTAAAAATGGTTTTTTTTTAAGTCTCTCCCTATCACCCAAAGTCTTTTTTTTGGGTAAGTTTTCACCCAGCGTCGATTGAGGAATTCGGCTTGGTCAAGATATTCCATAGTTTGAAGAGCTTGAATTGACAAGAGATCTATTCTTGAAGGTAGGATATCATGGGTTGGGTCATCAGCTTTCCATTCTCCGATGTATAAAGCTAAAATTGAGTCATATTGAGAGAGTCTATCGAAACCAATAGAAGGTGAGAGCATGGAAGATCTATAATGGCATTTTGCAACTGCAAAATTACCTTTGAACTAGGCCAAGAGAGCATCGTTGAGTAAAAGCGTGGGGAAATTGAGTTAAGGCAGGATTGGGTGGCTGCAAAAGTATTGGGAGATTGAGTTGGAGCAGGATTGGGTGGTTAAGGAAGGGCACTAGTTCGATGGTTGGTGCTATTAATGGAAGAGAGAGAGCGAGATAGGATTGGGGCATGAGAGAGAAGAAGGGAAGCCATTAGAGGTTTGCGTTGAGACCTCGTTTGGCCATTGAGAGAGAGGTTTAGTTGGTTAAATTTATGAGAGAGGAAAGAGAAAATAAAAAATTCGGTTTTTGATCTTGATTGGCCAATATATAGAGAGGTAGAGAGAGAATACGCCACAAGAGAGAGAAAACATTTTTCGTGTCTTCAAAAACTGAAATTGATGTGATTTTGGTTTTTGAAAAAATGAAAATAGGTAGTTTTGTATTTTTTAAAAAAAATTGTTATAAAGTCCAAAAAATGAATATATCAATAATAATATAAAATACTCGGTATTTTGGTAATAACATACACTAAAATGGATATTTAAGTAATTTTCCCTCATTCTATATGGCATAAGACCATATTATATACTTTTCCGATGAGCTATTTTAGACTCTTTTTTTTGGGGGATTGTCTACAAAAAGACCATTTATCTTTTCGACATGAAGGTCACAAGAGCCTAGGCTTAATTGGTTTGTGTTTGACGATTTGCAATGCTACGTCCTAAGCTCAATTCCTACCAAGGATAGTAGCCCTCTCCCCCCTGACTCACCCAAACAAAAAAAAAGATAAATGGTCTCTTTATAAAAAGGGGTGTGGTTTATATAAAGCCGAGGCTCTAAACAATCAAAGTAGAGTGCACATTCAAATAGTGTCAAGAAATGTGGTTTCAATATACTGGAAATATTTGTGATAACCCTCAAATAGATATTTCATCTCTAATTATAAAAGTTAAAGCTTCAAGAATAACTTAGAGCACGCTGAGCTATGAAAACTTTAAAATTTTAAATTGACGGTCAAAAAATGCATTACAAGATGCACTATTTCTAAAACTTGAAATCCATTTTTTTTTCTCATGTTCATGCATCTTAATGTTCGATGATATTTGAGCATCAAAACAACCTCTTTTAGTAAGATTTTTGAAGTACACTTTAATTTGAATGTTTATAGCCTCGGCTCTATATAAATTTTTTCCTTATTAAAAATCACTTTTTTTCCATGGTATTCTGGGACCTATTTGAGTGTTTTGAAAAATAATTTAACTTTGAGCTCTTAAACACATAGTTATAACTATCCAAAAATTAAACTGTTAATGTATTAGATATGGTAGGAAAAAAATAAAATATCAAAAACAAAATCTACTACCTCCATGCATTTTGGTTTTCATTATTATTGGAGACACCCCAATTTAACCAATCACCCAATATCACACACTCAATATCGAATATGTAAAATTAATAATTCAATAATAAGCTCAAGGATCGTATGTAATAATTTAAGAAAAATAAATTAGATATGGAAACATAATCATGAGAATAAATTAGATAGACAAACCACATCATGAATTTAACATCGTTCACCCCGTAGGGCTACGTCCACGGGCAAAATGGCAAGTAATTATACTATTAAAGAAAAATTTACAAGGGATACAATGTTACCTCAATAGAAAAAATCGGTGAAAACCATCACAAAAAAATACCTTATTGTGATCACCCCAAAAACCACGATTTATCCTGTTTCACTTCGGATGATCCTAGGACATGAGAAATACATGCTCATACAATTTTTCCACTAAAAATATGACAATAAATCATTTTTCACCTCTTTCCATTTCTCAACATAACCCAAGGAAGCCCAAGCCCCTTTCTAGAGAAAAAAAATATTTCAAGCCAAGAAGGAAAAATCATGTATACCTAATAAACCATTTTTTATTTTTATACAAGTCACTTAGTTAAAAAAAAACAAAACTCAAACAAAAAGTAAAAGACAGATACATTTAGGTGATTTTCTATTACCATTAAACAGTTATAGATCTTTTAAAAGTGGATGTAGTCAGGTAGTGCTAAACTTGAAGAGCAAAGTTAGTTGGCTTTCCATTAAGTTGAGGCTTAAAGGAAGATGGATTCAACCATTTGCTGGGATGTATAAAGCTTAGTTTTGATGGGAACTCTTTCAGGAACCCACACCTGGTCGAGAGCTGGTTACAAATTTTTATGGTATAGTGATCTTTTGCTACTCAAGGCCATGTGGTTTTACCACATCAAATATGACGGAGTTGTGTGCTCTTTTAGAAGGTCTTAAGCTAATTCAAGAAAAATTGAGGTTACTCCATAATGGAGGGGATTCTCTTAATTAGTGCAGTAAGTTGTATAAATCACTATAGAGTTTGAGGTCGGTACAAATACAAGTAATGATAATTTGCAAATAGAAATTGCATCTAAGGATAAGAAAATAATTATTTACTTAAAAGTATTATCATCATCATCGTCCAAGCTTTAAAACAATGATTTGGGGTCCAACTATATGAATCTTGTTTTTCCAATTTTTTCTATCTAGAGCCATACACACCAAAAGTCACCTCCTAACCGGTGTTGTATGAGGTTTATGATGCAATATGTTACCCACTTAAGTATATTTTCTCTCATCTTATTGCATGTTAACGCTATATCTAAATGCCTTTTTATATATTTATTTTGAATTCTATCATTTGCCACTTTCATCTTATCGCCTATTAAAGCTATATCTAAATGCCTTTGTATATATTTATTTTAAATTCTATCATTTGCCATTCATCCCAGCGTTTTGCTTAAAAATATGCCTATAAGAACTTCCTCATCTCAACTTTTTACTTAAGAATATGCCTATGTTATTAATCAATGTAACACAGTAAGAAACTGCAGGCATAAAAACAAGAACGAGCATAATAAATAAATAAAAACCCAAAGTCTTTAATCTAATACCTAAATTTTTTATTTAAATAATAATAAATTAGATACTATAAATTTTTGTGGCGGAAGTAAAAAATGAAAACCTAAAGAAGGGCAATTATGTAAATATCCATCTTATTTTTTGTTATTATCAAAATACCTAAACTTTCCATTATTACTCATTAGTAATAAAGTTTTCGTTACTACAAATTAGAAAGTGAAATCTTATGACAATTGGATTCTTCCTTGTTACAAAGGAATCCATGTTCAAAATAAACAAGAAAACAATCACAATATAATAACTAAAATTAAATATTAAAAATTAAACAAGCAAGTAAATAATTTAATATCAACTTACTTGAATTTTAATCTATTTATTACTATTTTATTTAAAAGGTGAGGTTAAATAAAGTGTGCACCTTAAACAATCAAGGTGCAGCTCAAATTCCACAGGAAGATACAGTTTTGGTGCCACAAATTTTATAATAACTTGAAAATCTTTTCTTAGTGCTAATTATAAAATTTAAAGTTTTAAAAATTGTGTCAATCGAGCAAATATATAGAGACTAAAACATCGTGAACTAGATAGTCCAAATAACGTCTCATAATATAAACTATTTTGAGCATTTAATTTTTTTATTTTTTTTCATATCTATGCATCTCACGGTCGAGATGATCAATTGGAGAGTTTTCCAATATGGAAACAATTTTTTCCAGTGGGATTTTGAGGTATAATTTACTTTTATTATATGAGGCTCTTTTTATAATATAAGGTTTACACAAACATTTTTCCTAATTTAAAATAAATATGCAGATGTATTTTCATCTAATTTATCAATTGGAGCACGATGAAAAAATTTATATACCTCGCATGAAAAGTATATGGTGCGCTCACCATCTAATTAATTAGATGGTGCAGACTGCATCCACATTCCCTCTCTCGAACCCCTCAAATCCCCATTCTCTCTTCCCCTACAACCTTCCCATGGATGTATCCTTGCGGGTCTGCCCTGAATAAAATGTATGGGGTCTAGACCCAAACCTGGACATGATCAGATCCACCGAAACTAAAAAATATAATGTGGGACCCGGAGCCCGGACGACCCTACTAGAACTGATTGGACCCAACCCAAAAGGTTAAATTATATTTAAATATATTTTATACATTAGGGCCCGAAAAATATTATTAGACCTGGACCTAAGCCCGAATAGTATTCGGATCCAAATCTTGGACCCAGACCTGACCGGCCGGGTCAAAATTTTAAACCCATATCTAGACCTGGATTGGGTGTACCCTTAGGATCCCTGGTCAGGTCCGGTCCGGGTCCCTTGCCACCCGTATCGCCCCCGACCTCTCTCTTTTTGACAATATTTTCAAAATTTGATTGATAAGGAAAATTCACTCCGTCCCTCTCTCTACACCCATTATCGTCAAATTCTTGCGTAAAAAAAGGATGAGGAAGACGACCGTAAAATGGCAATTCGTCAGGATTGTGATATTTTATAGGGAAAAGATTTGCGACTCCGTACTGTGCATTTGCTCCCTCGGTATAACACGTATATTAGATGCACCTTCTTCTACCTAAAACTAGAACCTAGCTGATAATTTCAAAGAAAACAACAAAGAAAAAATCAAATAGAATTCTCTATGTGCCTCAAAAAAATTAATATCCTATGATTGAACACGAACCACCCAATTTTCATAGGGCACTACATAGGTGTTCAACAATTCAAAATCCAAACTTATTCCATAAACATAATCGATACTTAAATTCCAAAATTTTAATGGAGTTGAGCAACCACCTAAAAGTGCTATTGTTCCTCGATCACAGTCCAAACCATTTTATGGACAACGACGAGCAACATGATCCTCATGCAAATCATTTAAGGACAATTTTGTGTGAAGGCTATAACAATGATGCCGTAAATGGTAAAAAGAATTGTATACAAAGAGAATATTTGTTTTTTGTACATGAAGGTTACAATTATATATAACCATCTGATGTGAAATTTGATAGCTTGGATGTGTCATAAAATTTGAAAAAATTTATTTTGAACTTTGAGCTTTTTCATTGAAATAAATGCGACTACCCAATTTCACATCCAATGGTCAAGATTACCTCGTTTCAGCAATTCAAATTTGGTTCCTGACATGTGGTTAATGTTCTAATCCCTTTTTATTTATTTTCTTCATTTTCTATTTTCATATTCCTTCGCTCTATCCTCCATTGCTTTCTGGGGCGATCTAATGCGATGAGCACAATACATAGTCATGAAACAGAACAATAATTATTTTGATTGATCCTATTGGCTTTGCTCATCCTAAATAGATATCTTCAAAATAGTTGTGACTACCTTGTACCAAACGTAAATAGTTTCATTATATAGTTTTCCATGGTAAAATATATGGAGCCAAAAGATTTCTTACGCGTACAACAGTATATCATCCATCTACTCCCTTAAATTTATTAAATCCCAAATTTTGGGGGTGTGATTTAAAGAATCCAACAGCTAAACAGTTAACCTTGAAAAAAAAAAAAACAGGAAAGAAAAAAGAAGAAGAAAATGATCTAGATGTTTGAGATCTCAAAATTCAAAATTCTTTTCTCAAAAATTACCATCTCATTATAATGAAATGGATCCCAAAATTTCAAATAGAAAAAGGGCGATCCCAACTAGGTGTGGCAACGAGTCGGGTCCTGCTGAAATTAGAGCCAGACCCGAATGTATTATGGTCTAAAAGTTGGACCCATCCCAGGTCTATCCTGTCAGGTCCCGGGTCTTGTCGCGTTCATTTACACCTTTATTATGAACTTTTTGTTTTTTTCCTTTATTTACCATCATCTACACAAATTATTGGCAACAAGGACACAACTCACTATTACATTTTAAACCGTCTTATTTGTCGTTTAATAGCTAAAGATGATTATGAATTCGTATTGTCTACGATCCTTAATACACCAAACAAATGGAGCTTGAAGCATTTTATCTCCAAAAGGTTACGGATAAGGGTCGAGTCCAACCAAACCCTAACCTGGACCCAAATAGTATTCGGGTCTAAATTTTGGACTCAGATATGACCTGCCGGATCAAAATATTGAACCCATACCCGGTGGGTCCGGGTCGTTTGCCACCCCCCTAATCCCAACTATTTTGGGGAGTAAATGTAGTATGCTGAAAGAATACGCGCCCATGAAAGAACACCCGATTGAACCCATTTCTTTATGAATATCCACTCATCGAACCAATCTTCAAAACATGTGAAGCCATCGATATATCTCCTCACTTCTCTGACTGCCTTTCTCTCTCTGCTCTTTCTTTCTCTGCTGTGATCTTGTTGAAGCTTTTCAATGGGGTCGCTCAAGGAAGATGATGATTTAGGCATGGCAGTGTCAAAAGACATAATACTGTACGTTAATGGCGTTCGACGAGTTTTGGCAGATGGGTTGGCTCATCTCACTCTTCTTCAATATCTCAGAGGTGCTTTTTTCCGTTTTCAATACATAACTTTTCTTCTTTAGTCCTATTATCTGATTTAACTCCATGGATCTTAATCACTTGGGGGATTTCTAGTTATTTCAGAATGAATTGTTTTTTTTTTTCCCAAATGAAATACAATTGAATTAGAGTGATATAACCATTTTCAATGCAAATCATGAAAAAGGAGCTTGACACAAGTGGGATTGTAGTGATGGAAATGGAATTGAAATTATGGTTTAATGAGAGAATCATGGAGAGGTGGACCTGTAATTGTAAAAGCGTTAATGGGCTGAGGCTTCATACTTGACTCGACATCCAGATTTCAAAACTCGGGCGAGTTGATTCGGACATGGGTACAAACTAAGAGACATATAAAAAGTACACAGATTGTATTTTTTTTACCAAATCAATATATATTATGTTTTATACAATTTAGATGTTGTTAATGATGATTTATGAGTTATTCTTATCATATGTTTTCCCTTGATTTGGATTTTGTCTAAATTGTTTCCACCAGTAAATCAATTTTTCTGAATTCCGTCTTTTATATTTTTTTTTATCTTTATGAGACCTTTATGGCTCCGGATTCATGAAAAGTTTTGGCAAAATTTTATGTTGACTGCTTACTTAATACACCCACCACCCTTACACAGGCTTAAGATGGGTTAAGGGAAAGTTTAATATCCTCACCCTTCTTAGGAAGTTCTATAGGACAACTATGAGACTAACTTTGATTTATGGGGCAGAATGTTTAGTGGTCAAAAAATAATATATCTATTGAATGAGTGTAGCTTAGATGAAGATGTTGAGATGGATGAGTGGCAAGGCAAGAAGCGATATAATTTGAAATGAATACATTCAAGAGAATTTAGGTATGGCTCCAATAGGTGATAAGATGAGAGAAAATAGACTTAGTTGTGCTGGCCATATCCAGTACAGGCGCAATACAACGTATGTTAGAAGGTGCGAGTAGGTTTAAGTGGAAGGCTAAAAAAGGGTAATGGGTAGGCCCAAAAGGACATGGTTAGAAGTAGTGAGAAAAGATATGACGACTTATGATCTCACAGAGGGTGTGGCTTTTGATAGAAGAGAATGGTGGACTAGGATTTGTGTAGTTGACTCCTAATAGTTGAGAAAAGGCTCTAATGATGATGATAAGACTTTAAGGCTGTTTGTGGTCCAATTTGCTTTTCACTTTTTTTTGTTTCTAACAATTTTTTTGTATTTCTTTTTCAAATTATTAGCCCTTTTTTGGCTTGTACACGACTTGGACTAGTCCATGCATGAGTTACTCAGCTTAGGCACATTCCGAGGGAGGGATGGATGTTGAGAATTTCTGACCTGAGTAGGCTAGTGGAGTCTTTGATTTTTTTTCTTCCAAAGTTCCCAAAAAACTAAGAAACAGAGAAAATTTAGAAAACATTGTAAAATCCATTCAATTGTATTTTACATTCTTGGTGCATTATAGGCACTTGTTATTGCATTTGAAAAACTTGATATTGTGTTGTACATTATGCAAAACATAAGCTCATATATTATAATACAAAAAGGTAAATATTATGTAACCCACCTGGCCTTTGGAACAATTGTAGACCGGATGCCCATAATGCATGATACGAAAACATTGACATAGGTCTAGGCATTTTGGTCATTTTCTATTTAGTGTGTTGTTATCATTATTATTGTTGTTGTTGTTGTTGTGCGCTAGGTGAGGCATACCTGTCCCCAAATCTTCATGTCAATTGGGCTTATAACAAAATTGAAATTAAAGTGTGCCCATTCACGTTGGCCATTGGACCAAGATTGAGACTGGGCATTTGACCTATATTGTGATGCACGAGAACTTGAAGAAACATAGAAAATCAGCAAGAAGGACCTTGACATAAGCAATTTTGGAGAAACCTTAAGGCTTTCTCCCACCTATGGCTCAAGCTTTAAGCTTCTTTTACATGACAAAGTCATTCTTTTCTTAAAGAGGAATACATGAATGACTCTCTAGCCCATCCATACCCTTATATTAGAAAATTATTGTTTTGGACAATTTTTGTCCATACAATTAACTTTTAACCAAAAGATCCTAACTTAAGTATAACTTGAAACTAAACTCTCTAACTTAAATGAAAATATCTAAAAAGTCCCAAGAATTTATAGCAACTAAAAAATCTTAAAATTAAACCCTAAAACTAAAATCAAAATATACATCCTTTAAAATTGAATAGAAATTAAAAATAAATATAAATTTTCCCTCCATCATTTTCCCCTTGTTGGAGAAAACTCGTCCTCGAGTTTTGAAGTGTGCTAAGATGAATTCAGCATAAAAAACACCTTCTTCAACCTTTTTTTTCGTTGTTGGCTCAAATACTATTCATGGTAAAGATAATTCCTCAAGAAACGGATTCTAATATGTATATTGAGGAATTAGGGCCACAATTTGCAGATTGTGAATCAAGCATGCTTTCACTGCACTACTCTGATTCCAATACCCTAAATCTCTTAAATGCTCCGCCTTCAATATCAATGAGATCTTCAAAGGCCATGATTTCGATTAGTTCTCTTGTTGCCTTCTCTCCATTCTTCACCCTCTTTCAAGATATCTTCACCATCATCTTGATCCTTTTCAATGCAATCTATGTCAAAATAAAAAATTTTATCCTCCAAATCGAAAATCCTAGAGTGATGTTCCCCACATTTAGGTATTTTATTGCTATCCTTATCACTCGACTATACATATGGAGCGCAAAAGTAAAAAAGCTTGTACTCGAGATCCTCTTGGGCTGAAAGATCACCGTCTTACCCATTGTTGATGCTCGCGAATTGCTGCGATAACTGCTGTACTTGTCTTTCAAGTCCCTCAATTCTGTCATCTATGGGATCATAGAGGATCTATGAAAAACCTCCTTCTATGGCCCCTTCTACGTCCCCTTCTCGCTGCCATAGGTTTGTGGAAATCACAAACCCTAGCAAATAATGAACAAAAATTGCTGAAATCTACAAGATCTAGGTTGTTTAGGCAAAACTTGGTCAAAATCAACAAAGCTTAGACCCCCACTATAATTTCTCCTCTTTGTTGTTGACTTAGGGCAATAAAAAAAGTGGTGTTATAGTAACTCTGTACACTGCTACAGTAACTCAGTACGTGCTATAGTGATTTCCGTATAGATCATGGGCTCTGATACCACTTGATGTAGGAAAATTTGAGAAAACAATAAAGTTGGTAAGAAACAATCCAAACACAAACATAATTCAAAGAAACCTAGGGTTTTCTAAAAAAACATTCAAAGAAACCTAGAGTTTTTTTTTCATACCCCAAGCTAGGGATCCAAAAGCCTAAGCTTTTATTTATTTCAATTTCTAAAAATCATGTGTAATTGACCCTCTCAAGGCCCCACACACCTTATATATTATAATTCAATGCTCAAGGACATTACATGTCTATGTAATGATTAAAAGGACCCATATATCTTAACTTAAATTTTTGTAATGACAAAAATACCCATGTGAACAGTAACATATGAACATAACACTAACACTATGAACAGTAACTGTGAATAGTATCATGAATAGTATTTGTGAATAATAAATAAAAATGAAAACCCTAGAATCCTAAAAAAACTAAAAAACCTTTAAACTAAAACTACAATATACATCCTTGAAATTGAATAAAAATAAAAAAAATAAGAGAATTTTTCCTCCATCATTCTTCCCTTGTTGGAGAAAACTCGTTCTCGAATTTTAAATTGTGCCAAGATGAATTCAGCGTAAAAACACGTTCTTCAACCTTCTTTTTCTTTGTTGGCTCATATATTATTCGTGGTAAAGATAATTTCTCAAGAAACGGATCTTGATATATATATTGAAGAATTAATGCAAATTCATCACATATGGATATCCTTGAACTCCCATTGAAAATTGTGTGGGAAACTTCAAACTCAATTTTTTGTCCTCTAAAGGGTTTCTCCATATCGATTTCATTACTCTCTGAAACCAGGGCCACAATTTGCAGATTTTGAATAGACCACACTTCCACAGCGCTACTCTGATTCCAATGCCCTAAATCTCGTAAACGTTCCACCTCTTTAATATCCTTAAGATCTTCATCTTTTTCTTTGTCAAAGAACTACATAATCTTGATCATCATTATAGATTGGATCTTTTACAAGATCTTGTTCATCATCTACATATGTATCGAAAATTGGTGGTAGATTCCAATCTAGAGCCTGTTGATTTTCGATACGATATACACCAAGATCAACCTAGTTCTCCTTCAAATCATGTAAATCAATTAAATTCCATGATTTATTCTCCCGAACATGAGGCTCCCAATGTAGAGCGTGTGCATAGAACGAGTGGTTGAAGGCAGCTTCATCATTCTGCTCCAATTATGAGTCGGACCCTGATTCATGCCATTCTCCATAAAAATCCTCACGATTTGAATCTATCCCTGTAGATTCCTCTTCGTTGAGGGCACGTTGTTGCTGGTCCCGCTTGTGCAGCAATAGCTCTGTAACCCTCTCTGTCATGTTGTTGATTTCTTTGTGCAGTTGGATCAGATCAACATCCCTACGGCTAAGACCTCTACGACCAGCCATCGCAATCTCTAGCCGTCTTCAAACCATGCTCTGATACGACTTGATGCAGGAGAACTTGAAGAAACATAGAAAATTAGCAAGAAACACCTTGACACACGCAATTTTGGAGAAACCCTAAGGCTTTCTCCCTCTTATGGCTCAAGCTTTAGGTTTTTTTTGTAAGACAAAGTCTTTATTTTCTTAAAGAAGAATACATGAATGACTTTCCAGCCCATCCATGCCCTTATATTGGAAAATTATTATTTTGGACAATATTTGTTCATACGATTAACTTTTAATCAAAAGATCCTAACTTAAGTATAACTTGAATCTAAACTCCCTAACTTTAATTAAAGTATCTAAAAAGTCTCCAGAATTCCTAGAAACTAAAAAACCCGAGAATTAAACCCTAAAACTAAAATCAAAATATACATCCTTTAAAATTGAATAGAAATTAAAAATAAGTATATTTTTTCCGTCCATCACATTGTTTCATAGGTCGAGAGGCCAATTGGAGAGAGAGAGAGAGAGAGAGGAGAGAGAGAGAGAGAGAGAGAGAGAGAGAGAGAGAGACTTATATATTCTAATTTATGTATCATGTAACATACTATATGCCATATACAATGTTCCTAATTTATATCTACATACATAATATGTTCATATATGCATGCATGTACTTATTCATGTACAAACTATATATACTATTAACACCATATTCTTTCTACATGTTGGTTGTGGCTATTTGTCGCATACCTATTGATTGGACGAAACAAGGCTGATGTATATCCCATGGACATAGCCCAAGGAGTGGGCTCATGTGATTGGATTACCCAATTGCTTGAGAAATAGTTATTACCAAATTATTTGTCTTTAATTTTTTTATATAATTGTATTAGCTAAGTTTGGTATCCTGCAAATTCCAAGTTGTTGTGCTTTTCACTACTAGAGATATGATTTTTAATTTAGTTGTGCTTGCTTCAACAGCATGCACATGCACACGCACACGCACACGCACACGCACACGCACACGCACACGCACACGCACACGCACACGCACACGCACACGCACACACTCACACTGAAGTTCAAAATACTGATGTTGTTTTCATCGGCATCTAGGTTTGGCGCTCACAGGTACAAAACTGGGTTGTGGTGAAGGTGGTTGTGGGGCTTGCACTGTGATGGTTTCTCACTATGACCCACATTTGAAAGAGTGCATGTGAGTTTCTTGTTTCTTTAATGTTCTGTTCCGTTGTCCTTTGTTCTTTAAGGTTTATGGTTGGAAGCAATTTTTATACGAGTAATCCTTTACATTAAATGTAAAGTCCCAAAAAGCTTAAAAGATGAATAATTTTTTCATTAACAATTATTCTCTTACTTTATGTGGCCATTTTTGTGTGGCTTCCTTATGGACGCATTAATCAAGTGATGCATTAAATAGTTATGTGCTGCTGATGACAAAATTATTATCACATACAAAATCCAATAATTGCCGTCTAATTTTCTTCTACATCCTTCGGATTTCATTTTGCTTGGTCCTCAGACGACCATTCTTTAAGTGCTTTATTTTCTTGCTTTTGTAGTTCTTCTATCTGGTAAAGATGGATCATTTATATTGTAAAAGGGAACTTGTGCGTGGATGCACACAGCTGTTCAAGTTTGTTTACCTTTTTTTTCCCAGGATAGTGAGACTAGAACTACACAATTCTCTATTAGTGCAAATAATTTTAATCTAATTTCACGTTAAAATCAATCTTCAGCTATTAAGACTTGAGTTCTTGATGGATCTGTATACCATGATTTTGTAAGCATGATTTGAATGGACACTAATGTGGTGCAGGCATTATGCAGTCAATGCATGTTTAGCTCCACTATATTCTGTGGAGGGGATGCACGTCATTACAGTAGAGGGCATTGGGAATCATCGTAGTGGTTTACACCTTGTTCAGGTGCATTATCTTACGCCGTCCATGTTTGTTGGATGTTGATGCACATGTATAGGTGTTGAGCTATACCTCTAACTTGTCATCTCTACTACAAATCATTTCGGACAATGGCAAATTCTGTTATTTGCATTTTTACCTAGGAGAGCTGGACATAACCCCAGTGATGGGCTCCTCACTCTCCCTGTAACTGTCCATCATTTTAATGGATGGTGATGACCCAACAGTCTATGGTTTTCTAGAGTTCATTGGATTGTTGTACCCTTCATCATCATTGTCATGCGAGCCTTATTCCAACTATTTGGGGTCCGCTAATTGGATTGGTTTACATTTATTTTACCTAATTTTGGATACGGCAGGTTTTCACTTTACTCCAATGGGGTTTGAGTTTGTAATCTATATGCGCAGGAAGCTTTAGCCAATGCTCATGGATCGCAATGTGGGTTCTGTACACCTGGATTTGTCATGTCCATGTATGCTTTATTGAGGTCTAACAAAGGCCTTCCTACTGAAGAACAGATTGAAGAGTGCTTGTCGGGTAATTTATGTCGTTGCACTGGTTACAGACCCATTATTGATGCCTTTCGTGTTTTTGCAAAAAAGGATGATGCCTTATACAGCATGAGATCTTCGTCAGAAAGCTTAGGCAGTGACTTTATCTGCCCTTCAACTGGAAAACCTTGTTCTTGTGGGGAAAAAACTGTTAATCCACTTGAGAACTGGACAGGAAAATGCAGAAATAGTTATATGCCAGTTGCACATAATGATATTGATGGAAGTTCTTATTGTGAGAAGGAGCTAATTTTTCCTCCAGAGCTTTTGCTTAGGAATTTGGTGCCTTTGAACTTGAATGGAACTGGTGGAATGAAATGGTTTCGACCTCTTAAACTTTGGCAAGTTTTGGATTTGAAAATGAGATATCCAGATGCACGATTAGTGGTCGGAAATACTGAAATTGGAGTTGAAAGAAAGTTTAAGAACATTATGTATGAGGTTCTGATATCTGTTACCAAAGTGCCTGAGCTTAATGCTTTTGTTGTGAAGGATAATGGGTTGGAGATTGGTGGAGCGGTAACTTTGTCAAGGCTCTTAAAATTTCTTCGAAAGCTTGTAATAGAACGTGATGCTCATGAAACATCAGCTTGCAAAGCATTTATTGAACAACTAAAATGGTTTGCAGGGACTCAGATAAAGAATGTTGCTTCCATTGGGGGAAATATATGTACAGCTAGTCCAATATCAGACTTGAACCCTCTTTGGATGGCTGCTAGAGCACAATTTAAAGTCATTGATGAGAAGGAAAATATTAGAACCCTTCCAGCCATGGAGTTCTTCAAGGGCTATCGCAAGGTTGACCTGAAAAGAAGTGAAATTTTGCTATCAGTGTTCTTACCATGGACAAGAGACTTTGAGTTTGTGAAAGAATTCAAGCAGGCCCATCGGAGGGAGGATGATATTGCACTTGTAAATTCAGGAATGAGGGTTTTCCTTGAAGAGAAAGATGGAAAGTGGGTGGTTTCTGACGCATCTCTGGTTTATGGTGGAATAGCTCCTATTCCTTTTTCTGCATCGAAGACTGCTGGTTTCCTTCAAGGAAGAACTTGGGGCCAAGAAATGTTACAGGGTGCTCTGGAGACATTGCAGGAAGAAATATTTCTTGAGGATAATGCTCCAGGGGGTATGGTGGAATTTCGAAAGTCTCTCACTCTTAGTTTCTTCTTCAAGTTCTTCTTGTGGGTCACCCATAGTATGGAAGGGAAAGGTTCCTTCTTCTTGAAACCACTTCCTCCTTCCCATCTCTCAGCTGTGGAGCCGCAAAAATGGGCATCATCCACTGGAATCCAAAACTATAAAGTCGATATCCATGGAACAGCTGTGGGTCTTCCAGTTCCACATATTTCATCTAAACTTCAGGTATGTTTTCATTTAAAAATTCTTTTTTTCTTATTGTCTCTCTATGATTTAAGTATCTGAAATCTTTATTAGAAATCAAAGATAAGAGAGTTATTGACATCCTCTCTCTCTCTCATATGATTTTTTTGATGCTAAATGTATGGAAAGCATAGTTAAATATGTGATATTCTAATTGTTTGCAGGTTAGCGGGGAGGCAGAATATGCTGATGACACATTGACTCCTCCAAATTGCTTATATGCTGCTTTGATACTGAGCATGAACGCTCATGCCCGCATAATTTCCATTGATGATTCAGGAGCAAGGTCTACACCAGGCTTTGAAGGATTATTCCTTGCCAAAGATGTTCCTGGAGACAATAAAATCGGGCCAGTTATTCATGATGAGGAGCTGTTTGCTTCAGAAATTGTCACTAGTGTGGGTCAGGTACTGGTGCTTGATATCATTGTTAGAAAAACCAGCCGGTTAGAACTGGAACCGGCTGGTTAGCTCGAAACCGCGAAGGTTCTGAGTCCGGTTAGGGGTGGTTTTGGGGATCTCCTAGCCTAGGGTACAACCCCATAAAATTTCAGGCCCAAAACCAGCCAGTTAGGGGTCGAACCAGCTGTGCTTTTGGTCAAACCGGCTTGGTTTTCTTGCTAACCGGACCGGTTCGTGGATATAACGGGTTTTATAGATAAATAACGGTATAGTTAAAATAACGCCCGTTATTTTCAATTGAAACCGTTATTTGATGCAAGAATTCATAGATGGATTTTTTCTAGCATTTTTTATTCTTTTTCTTGCCATTTTTTGGTGTTTTTCATGCTTTATGGATGTAAAACACTATTTATTGTCTTAGAACAAGCTAATTCGAATCAAAGATTGAAAAATCAAGAGATTTTGTGGATTGAAATGGCGGAATTTCACACCTTTTGAAATTTCCGCCATTTCATCAATACCATCTTCAATAGCCAATGGTTTTTTCTGAAATTTGAGGGTTTTTAATCCTAATAGAATCATCTACCATATGCCTCTTTCAATTTGTTCAAATACCAAAATATTGGGGGTTAATTTTGGCCCAAAAAGCTGCTGCTAGAAGAACTTATGTTCGATCCAAAAAAATAGATTTTGGATTGATTTTTAACAAATTGATTTTTGTATTTTGATCATCAAGGCTTCATCTATCACATAAAATAGGTATGCTTATTTATTATAGATTAACTATTTTTATATGAATTTGTTTCTTGCACGATTTCACATATTTGAATTTTCCATGATTTTTCAATTAAATAAAAAATACCGAATATTTTTTTATGAATTTTGGTGCATTTGAAAGGGTGATCGAAACCTTTACAGTGCTTGTGTATTGATTTGTTTGATTATCTGAACATTGAGAGTCGTTTCTTGCTTGAAATGTTGCTCAATTTTAGGAGCTTTTGAGAAATCTTTCAAAAAAAAAATATTTTTCTTACTAAATGAATATGGGAAGTGTTTTTTGTTTTTCTTAATAAAATAATGTTTTTTGATAAAATTATTTATTTTGATAAAAATATATTGTTTTGAGTAATATGGCAAAACTTATATGTATCGGCCTCTCTACCTTGTGACATCTTGTCTTTTCTAGATGGACATGTGAAAGTTGGTGGATCAATTTCTTTTCCATTGTTTCTAATTATGGTTAGCAGTATTTTGAAGTGTTGTAAAACTTGAAACTGGAGTGCGTAAACATATATGTGTGCTTATATATTTTTAGTAATAAGCATCTCCTACATTTGTGGTAAGGTGTGATAAACTTATTATCAGATTTCATTCTAGGAACAAAAAGATTTATGTGGCCTGCTTGGGATCATTTATAGGACCATAGTATTCAAATATTAATTTATATAAAAAGATGTTTCAATTATTTTTTTTGTAAGATAAATGTATGTAATAAGATATTATACAATTAATCTAAGTTTTTCTATTTTTATGATTTTTTTTTAATTTTTTTGGGGGTTTTTGACCCATTTAAAAAAAATAAAAAAATCTACTTGACCGGTTAGTCAAGTTAACTGCCCTGGTTAGTCCGGTTCTTGTTCCAACTGCTCCCAGCCCCATGTCCGGTTAACCGTTCCGGTTCGATTTTGCGAACACTGCTTGATATACAGGAAAGTGCTATATACTCCAGTGAAATATGGAAAAGCCATAGACCATTGGTCCCTTTACCATCCAATGAAATGATGCACATTGATGGTGACAGAGTGGGACCCACCATTGGGGTCATGTGATATTCTGTTGGGTACTGGTCTCTATCTGTCATATTCATCATTTCATTGGTTGGTGATGACTCATTCACTCTAGGTCGCCTTAGTTCATTGGATTATATTATATGGTTCCTTCTTCTATTTGTCATTTGATTGCCTTACCTATCTGTACTATGATTGTCCAATCAAAGGTATTAGTTTCTTCCAAATAAATTTGGGGAAGCATTCAGGATTTTATTGCTTTTGGATAAATATGTGATGAACTTTTTGAAACAGGTTATTGGGATTATTGTGGCAGATACACATGAAAATGCTATGTTAGCTTCCCGAAAGGTAAAGATTGAGTATGAAGAGCTTCCTGCAGTTTTATCCATAAGGGATGCTCTTGAGGTCAGAAGTTTCCATCCAGGTACAGAGAGGTTTCTTCAAAAAGGAGATGTAGAGGGCTGCTTTGGTGGTGGCATCTGTGATAAAATTATTGAAGGTGAGGTGCAAGTAGGAGGCCAAGAGCATTTCTACTTGGAAACACAATGCAGTCTAATATGGACAGTGGATGGAGGAAACGAAGTTCACATGATATCCTCGACCCAAGTATGTATGTAGTTTCTTTTGGTAACTGTGGTACTTCAAGTTTGTTACTGTATGTTCATCTTATTCGTATTTCTTTGAACAAATGCTATGAAGGAACATATGTGTGCTTGAGAGAATCAAAATAAGTTCACATGTATCCACTTCTATGTGTTGGTGGGTGCATGAACATGTATGCTAAGTCTGTTCTTCTATCATCAATTGAACGCATACGATTGATGAGCTATTTCCTGTTTAGTTAGTGCACATGCTTTGTTAATTCACGTCGTTTATGTCCCTTTAAGACTAGTTGCATGAAGCTCATCTCAACCTCTATGTTGGAGGTTTAGTTCCCGTGCTAATCAAAGGGAAATGTTTTGTCTATGTGTCTGTATTTGTATGGGAAAGTATAACATACACAATAGGTATGCCATGCGAATATGCAATTGGGGCATCAATTGCATATTCTCATGACAGAAGGTGGAGATTATCCATGGTTCAGAGATTAACAACTAGGCAGAATTATGGTTCATCTCGTCGGATTGTCTGAAATATGGGTGGTGGATGCCTTGTCAGTGTATCGTATAGAATGTGGATCATGTACTTATACACTCACAGTTATTTCATTTGTACTAATACATGTGATTTTTATGCTGAAAATTCTCTGTAACTGTTTCCTTATGTACAGGCCCCACAAAAGCACCAAAAATATGTTGCTCATGTTCTCAATCTTCCCATGTCTAAAGTTGTTTGCAAGACCAAGCGGATTGGTGGAGGATTTGGTGGAAAGGAGACACGCTCAGCTGTCATAGCTGCAGCTGCTGCTGTACCATCATACCTTTTGAAGCGTCCGGTGAAGTTAACTTTGGATAGAGACGTAGACATGATGATCACCGGCCAGAGACACAGTTTTCTTGGAAAATATAAGGTTGCCTGTTCATTACTATAAAGATTCTAGTAAAATTTGATACTTGGTTGTTTAAAGATAAACTCATATGCTACTTCTTAAGGTATTCATGTGCTTGTTATTGAAATTTCTTAGGTGGGCTGCACAAATGAAGGAAAGTTGCTGGCTTTGGACCTCGAAATTTACAACAATGGAGGGAATTCTTTAGACCTCTCCCTTGGAATCCTTGAACGTGCAATATTTCACTCAGACAATGTTTATGAGATACCCAATGTGCGTATTAGAGGGAGTGTTTGCTTCACTAATTTCCCAAGCAACACAGCTTTTCGGGGATTTGGTGGCCCACAGGGCATGCTTATTGCTGAGAATTGGATTCAGAGAATTGCTATGGAACTTCAGAAAAGCCCTCAAGATATAAGGGTAGGTTCCATTTTTATATTAAAAATTTGTTCTATTAAATGACAGTGCTGAGTCAACTTGCATATGATTCGCAGGTTTCCCAAAAACACATGATGATTTATTATTATAAACAGGTTCCTGAACAGTGTAAAGTATTTTCCCTACTATTTTGCCTTCCCAAGTCTAGTGCATGAACTGACCAATATATTTTAAGAAATGTATTCTATAATTTCAACTACTGATATATGGAGGGTGAAAAGGTAAACTTTAAGGGTTCAATGCATTTTACCAGTCTGCCTACTATTTTGGTGTTTGAAGTTTGAAACTATGACTTTTTTTTTTGTGTTTTTTAGAAAATTGGTATGTCGTCTTAAGTACTCGACTGGTGAGCTTAGAATGTTAAGGAAAATCGAACTTTCTATGTGTCTGCTTCTAAGTATTAGTTTCTGGGGCGCCTGCATATGTTGCCAGCCTCCTAGGCACTATCATGTAATAACCCCCTTTGAATATAGCAGTGATCTGGCCTGTTTCAAAATTGTAACAAAGTGTTTCCTTTTTTGTGTTGATTTTCTTCTTCATTCAAACTAAACATTTATATTCTCAAATTTACAGGAACTTAATTTTCAAAAAGAGGGATCAATACTCCACTATGGTCAGCAGCTTGAAAATTGTACCTTGAGGCAGCTTTGGGAGGAGTTGAAAGCATCTTGCAACTTTTCTGATGCTCGAGCAGCAGTGGACCAATTTAACCTTAAAAACCGTTGGAAGAAGCGTGGAGTTTCAATGGTTCCTACGAAGTTTGGCATCGCCTTTACTGCAAAGTTTATGAATCAGGTCTGACGGTCTGTGATAGCAACTTGAACTACCTTTAAGTCCATAGCATCTTGTACACATAATCGGGTATTATGGTATATAATTACACGATGTTGCTCAAATGGCTGTTACCCACTCTTAGAACAATAGGAATTTCTAAATCTTACCAAGAAATGGGTTTTGTGGACCTAAAAATCTGACAAAATTTGTTTTATAGAGGTTAGAAAGTTTTCAGTCTGTGAGGTGTTTAGCTAAGGTCTCAATTGGTTTTTTATCCTGGTGACAACCATAGTCTTAACGAGATAGAATCAACCTGCTAGGATTTCCTAGTCAGATGAGACTCTTTGGAGATCCATCATGACCTATTGGTTTCTTTAGGAAGCTCTTGACTCAACCTTCCTTTAGTGACCTAGATGTTCATATACAATTGCTTTTTTATAATCTACTATTACTATTTTCATTAAAATACGTTATGCATAGCTCTATATATATGGGAACTCTATATAAACAGGAGCTGCTTTTGTTTTCTTGGTTTTCATTTTTGACGAGTATGAAACATGATTTTCATACTGTAGAGTGTAAACTTAGATCATCATTTGTACTTTTGTACTTATTGCATTCTGATCTTCTGCTTTCACCTCCTTATTTTTTTGCCCCTAGTGTAGGCTGGAGCCCTGGTCCAAGTCTACACTGATGGTACTGTTTTAGTAACACATGGAGGTGTTGAGATGGGTCAAGGCCTACACACAAAGGTTGCTCAGATTGCTGCTTCTGCTTTTGATATTCCTCTCAGTTCAGTCTTTATATCAGAGACTAGTACAGATAAGGTCAAATGTTTTTCTTGCTCTTTGTAAACCTTTGGGTTGCATACGATATTCAGTTTTGCTCTACCATTTACGACATCAGCAGCTGTTAGCAAGGACAATTCTAAAGTTCATTGCTTTCTCAACTCAAGGCATGAAACAGGTTGTTGTAGACCTTTTCTATGTTGGGTTTCCAAATTCTGCGCTTCACCTTATACGAATTTCCATCGAAATTATAGATCTTATTGTTATATTTGCATTAATATTTATTAAAAAAACAAGTTTTGTATTCTGAATTTATATGAAAGCCATAGGATTCATGTAGCCGACTATAGGATTCATGTAGCCGACCCCAAGTCATTGGGATAAAGCTTGGATGATGTAAGCAAAATGAGAAGGAAGAGAGGGAGAGAGTGAACTTGGAATGCATAATGCGAAATAAAATGTCAACTTTACTACCTATAGAGACAAGATTATGGGTCATCATTTTTTTTGTTGTTAAATGGTGCAAAGACGAACTTTTAACATGCGTTTCGAATTGAAAGTAAAAAATGACTTGGATGCCAAGTATCATAGACAAATTGATTCATGGTGGCTTTTTACTTTTCCTTGTTTCTGTGAGATCATGGGATTTTGATGAGGGATGAAGTGAATAAACATGTATTTCTTTTCTCAAGGACTGTAACCAATAGCATTTTGTATTTCCCATTAGCAACTCTCATTACCTGCTAGTTTAAATGTAATCAGTGTGTGAGGGAAGAATTTCAAGTAGTTGTAATTGGGTTCTTGAATAGGAACTCCCTGAGTAGGAGTAAAAGCATAGGGTTTTGAGCCTTCTAATTCTCTCTGGTGAAGGACTAGAGTATCCCTAAATGAATAGAACAAATAAGCTGACATGGACATAATTACAGTTTTGTAATCATAAGAAAATGATGATTGTTGTTGCTTTTCAACATGTTCCCTCATGCTTATAGTTAAGAGCTTGGGTACATTTGTTTTGTTCATAATAGTTCTTTCCTGTGGTTTTGCCCTTTTACTTCCCTTTTATCTCTAAGTAAACTTTTTGTATGAATTGCCAGGTCCCAAATGCATCACCTACTGCAGCTTCTGCAAGTTCAGATATTTATGGAGCAGCAGTATTAGATGCTTGTGAGCAGATAAAGTCAAGAATGCTACCTATTGCACTGAAACATAAGCATGATTGTTTTGCTGAGGTAAAATTACCCAGTTTCATATTTTCCATTGCAGCGATGTTCCATCCCGTCAAACTTAGGGACAGTCAATGAAAACTAAAATTCTTTCCTATAAAGTAGTTAAATTGCCTTATCTAAGTGAATAATTTTCTGGTATGCTTCAAATTGGCTTGATTACAGAGCATTGCAAGAATTTTTATATAAGAGTTTATTGAATGTCAGTTGCAGAAACCCAAAATTGTTGATCAAAATTCAAAAATAGAAGCTTAAGACTAATGGATTTTGTATATTTAAGAAGTAAATTCCTTGAGCAGCTAGGTTCATGATTTTCAGAAAATCTCCTTTAGTTTACCCTGGTATTTTGATATCTCGATTCTTTTCTTAACAATCAGTTGGTTCAATTATAGCCTTGAAATTTTTATTTCAGAAAACATTATAGCTTGAAATTTGCTTGGTAACAAAAAATCCTTTTCCTGATTCAAAGGTAGAATTATTATGGTTCTTTTTGGAAGATTATCCATATGCAATATTTTGTAGCCTATATAATGCTAGTAAAAATGGGTGTTATTGAGTGGTGTTATAGGAACCCCTGATGTACTGGTTCTTTTAGTTTCGCTGTTCAGTGATGGTTTGGACATTTTTCTTGAGAGCTGATTCATGAGGCTTGTGTCTCTCACCGATTGAACCTAGTCCTCTTCTTCAATCTAAGCTCTCTTTCAGAAGAAACTCTGTTCCTTGAACTTTGATTATCCCCACCTACACAGGAGAAGAAATAATTATTTCCTTCAAATACTCGAGACACTTTCTTAAAAAACATTTATTGTTAGCTTTCATATTTTACATAGATGAATATCTTTCATATCCTTTTCTAATATCTGATCTGCCACGGGGTATCACTTACAGCCTGTTCGATGTCTAGTTGACCCAACATAGAGATTCTTTGTCAAAAATCTCATTTGTGGTTTCCTAGTTTGAATTTTTATTTGTCATATAAAAACGTAGGCCTTGTTGATCATAGATAATGCTCATATATTCTGATTTGTATAAGCATTTTGCTAGCTGAGACATGCCATATGTGACTCTTATTGTTTTGATTGTGCTTGATTGTTAACTTTCTGTTTTTAATAATCAGTTGGCAAATGCATGCTACATGGAAAGAATTGACCTCTCGGCCCATGGATTTTACATCACTCCTGATATCAACTTTGATTGGTCCACTGCTAAAGGGAGGCCATTCAATTACTTTACATATGGTGCCGCATTTGCTGAGGTGGAAATTGACCCCTTAACTGGAGATTTCCACACGAGGTCGGCAGATATCATAATGGATCTTGGCACTTCCCTTAATCCAGCTATTGATGTTGGTCAGGTAGCTTCTTTCACATCATAAGTTTATATGCATATAAGTTAACATGCTGATGCAAAGGCCCCTGTTAGTACATCTTCTCACTTGTGCTTCCTCTAAGTAAAACCGTATGTTGTAGCAGAATGAGCTGTTGCTGACATTTATCTTTATGCAGAAATTCTTGGAGCATATCTGGATAGTTTGCATGATTACTTATACAATGGCATCGTAAATCTAAGAATACCATTAGCCAAATATCATTTTTCCCCATTCTAAAAGACGTTAACTGCATTTCCTTTTTCAGCTTTTCAGTTTGCTTTTCAAAGAATGAGATGTAACTCATGTCCTTGTATTTACTTGAAAAGCAAAAGTAATTCATGTTCTTAGTTGTAAGGAGCACACTATCTTCCTCTAAGGAACCTATTTGTCCTCTTCTCAGAGAACCTATCACTATTCAAGTAGTGCATTTCTCTCAAAGTTAGAACTACAGTTGCTTCAAGGAAAATTAACAGTTTCCCGCTTTTGATAAAACATATATCTAGAGCTTTTTCATTCAAATATAATTTTGGGTATAATTCATATTCTATAATCAAAAGTAAATGAAGCATGAGAAGAACCTATGAAGAACATGAGGTATTATTATTTCTGGATTATACAATTATAACCAAATAAACATGATCTTTGGGAAAGTATATCACAACCCATTAGATTATGATTCATTTTTTCCTGGTAGATATTTATTAGAATTTGTTTTAAAGGATGCTGATTTGATCTTGATCCGTTTGATAGATTGAGGGGGCCTTCATTCAGGGTTTGGGTTGGGTTGCCTTGGAAGAGCTGAAATGGGGTGACCCTGATCACAAATGGATTAGATCTGGCCACCTCCAAACTCGTGGGCCAGGGGCTTACAAGATTCCTTCCTTGAATGATATCCCTCAGAAGTTTAAGGTCTCACTTTTGAAGGTATTCCCTCTTTGCTTGTGTGTTGCTAATTATGCTGTTGCCTGACCCACCTAATGTGGAAATAATCGAATCAACTGAATTGTTCATTGATTTCCTCAAGTATCCCATGTCTCTTATATATACTTTCGTTCGTCATCATGTTAATAGTAAGAGAGGATTTTACTGTAATGGCTAGCACTATCATTTCTGAAAGGGGACCTATCTACACTTGATTTTGTTTTCCTTCCTTTGTGGCGGTTCTCATTCTATTCGTGACGCAATGATGCTGATAGTAATTTAAAAGAGAGAGCACTATCTCTTTGAAGTGGCATATATCTTGAACATTATTGACACGTAAAGTTGTGTGCTAATAGCCTCTTTGTTGTTATTTAGGATGCACGAAATAAGAGGGCCATACATTCATCTAAAGCAGTCGGAGAACCGCCTTTTTTCCTAGCATCCTCTGTATTTTTTGCCATTAAAGATGCTATCACAGCAGCTCGGAAAGAGTCTGGGCACCATGGCTGGTTCCCACTAGACAATCCAGCCACTCCGGAGAGGATTCGAATGGCATGTGCTGATGAATTCACAAAACCTTTTGCAAGTGCAAACTATCAAGCCAAGCTCAGTGTATGATGCACGCTACTGAGAATAACTGATGGGAATACCAAGCAAGCCACTACAGTAGAAGTAATACCCTAATCCAATGAGGTATTGTATATAATACATCACATACCCATGTAGCATCTGTTACCATGATGGATGGTCAGGGTTTAACTCGGGGATTGTCTCAGTGGGCCTCAACGAAATCCCCACTCTCCCTCTTGTCTGGAGTTGTGGCCTGAGCACCTAAGCGCTGAGCCAAGAGCCTCTCTCCCTATTGTTGATGTTAAGTGCTTGGAAATTTGTATGTATTTTTCATGATTGGATTCTCACTGGTGGGATGCTCATACTTGCAGGTGTGATTAGAGATAATATCCACTTAACCTCGACTTTTTAACTTGTTTGTACTAAGTTCTATATGGAATGTTGACATTGAAAGAGCCTGAATGATAACTCTCTTATGGGTAAATCAAAGATAAGTTCTTAGAACATAGGGAGTCTCTTTTTCAAAAATGGAGGAAATGAAATAGAGATGAGAGGCTTTCTATTGGGGCATATTATTTTTACACATTTTCTATAAAGAGACCATTTATTTTTGGTATATGGAAGTCACAATCATTCTCACTCATTAGATGTCAAATTGGATAGCTTGGAGTGAGTCATGAAGTTTGAGATTTTTTAGTTTTGGAATTTTATGTCTAGTCAATGATACTCATGCAACCACTCATTTTAAAATTTGAAGGACAAGAATGATTGTAACTTTCATGTACAAAAGATAGATGGTCGTTTTGTAGACATTTCTTTATTTTATTGTTGAATTATATTTGGATCAAAGAGAGAGAATATAGGAACATATATACTTGAAATTGAATTAAGGGTCATGCTACCCTATATACTTTCTGTAAGGTCTGTGCCGGGCATTCCCCAATCTAAATCTCTTAGTAAAGTACTATCTACCTTAATGTTGCATGTGCACCTCTTAATTAGGGCTAAATAATTTTGAAAAATACTAGTAAGGCACTATTTGATGTCAAGATTCTGTCAAATTACAGTAGAACAAATGATAATTTGGTCAATTTCCATTAATTCTATGGGGGTGTTCACTTGAGCTATGATGTATTGATGTCGTGAGCTGGTGCGGTGGTGGTCGTGGTATGATATAATGGTGGTGGAGTGGGTGTAGTGGTGGTATTAGTAATGATACCAGCAGCAGGAGTGTGACGGTCATGGTGTTGGGGTGGTAGCAAAACAGTGGTAGTGGTGGTGAAGTGGGGCAGCTAGGCAGTGGTGGTGGTGAAGTGGGGCTGCTATGTGGTGGTGGTGATGTCTAAGAGGCGCATTTGTGGTGGTGGTGGTAATGGAGTGGTAGTGTGGTAGTGATGCGGTGATAGCGATGGTAACAGTGGCACTATAGAGACGAGGAGCTCATTTGAATTTTTTACATAACAATTTCGAATGATTTCAAGTTTTGGAAATAAAAGAGGTTGTTTTGGAATTTTTTACATAGAGCCTAGGCTTTAAAAATTACACTAAAAGAGGTTGTTTTGATGCCCAAACATGGTTTTAAAAAGCACTAGGTGGGTCTTGGGCGGCCTAGGGGGTCCAAGCCGCCCAGCACTTAAGCGGGAGCCTAGAACCTGGCCGTCCAGTTGAATCCAAATAAAGATTATGGCATTTAGCAGTACACTACCATGAGGAAGAAAACAAATTGAATTATAAAACTATGAAAGTAATACTTGAAGACTCAAAAGAATATTCAATAGTTCAATAATCAATACACAATATTTCAAACAAAGTTTAACTTCAAAGTTTAATAATTAGTTATTATTTAACAATCAACATTCATCAATCATCATTCATTCATCATTAGAAAATCTTGGGTCAGCTGCATTGGCATTATATTCATCGGAGTCGACGGAGTCGTCATTCTCCTTGACATATTGGTCGTCCCTGTCCTCATCCGTCTCTTCTGAATCAGCCTCTTCTTCCTTCCTTCCTCCATCCTTATTCTCTGTGCAAATGATTTAGTGACCCTAGGAGGGTCAGTTGATGTCCTTGAAGCATCCATGACCATGTCCCATGTCAATCTTTCATGCCCATCGACCTCATCATCATCAACTAACCACTTCATAGAATGATCCATATTTTTTGATCTGATATGGTCTCTCTTATCTCTGTTAGCAAACTTGTCCTTCAAGAATCGATTGTACTTGCCATAAGTTAGGCCATTGAGCCTCTTTGATTCAAGCCTGTTCATTTTTTGTGTGTAAATTTGACGAAATCAAATGAAAAATCTAATATCTATGGTTCATGTATTATTTATAAAATTATAGAAATTACCCTTATGGCTTTACTCCTTCAAAAGTACTCCAATTACGCTCACAACCGGACGAAGAAGTTGTTATAATATCCGAATGACCAACTTTTGTAAATTTGGAGAACTACATCCATGTTGGCTCTATTAATGGGCTGCAAATATAGAGAAAAAAATTATAAATAAATAATAGAATTACTTGATTACTTGAACTTGATGAAAGATGAACTTAAGAATATTATTAATACCTGGTCTAGTTTTGGTCCCTTGCCTCATCGCCATTGGTGTCCCAAAAGACTTCAATGAGAATTTGTAATTTATCAGCTCATCAGCGCATATAATATTCTACATTTCAAGTTCAGGGACTAGCACCTCTACACACTCATTAAATCCATTTATAATTGTGTCGTTTGTTTGTATATCCTTGTCAAAATAAAACAAAGTTGGATTCAAAAAATAACCAATTGCATGCAATGGCCGATGTAATTGCCTATCCCACTTCTCATCAACAATCTCCTAAACAGGCATGTAGCGGGTTTATTTATCATTGAAATTTTGGGCTATCTCTCTTTTGCATTTCTCCATAGCATCATATATATAGCCCATAGAAGGCTTGTCACTATCAACCATGCGAAGGACTTTGATAAGAGGAAAAAATACCTTAAGAGTGCCCTTCACCCCTCGCAAAAAAACTTTAGAAAGGATAATAACTCTCACCTTTTTCCCAACCTGATCCTCAGACCATTTGCATGCTCTCCACTCATTCGAGGTAAACACTTGCTTCAACTGCATTCTCCTCAAATGTATGCTATCTAGATATAAGTATCAGATCGTAAATGTCATGACCCCAGCCCTCACAATCTCTTTCTTCTTTGTAAAGGTACACGTCATGCTGAGGGTGAGATGGTGGCTATAAATGAAATTTATAACTAACTTGGCCTTCTTCACTGCACTTGTTATCTCGGTTAAACTGTCAAGAGCCTCAAACATGAAGTCTATACAATGTGCTACACATGGTGTCTAAAAGATTCTAGGATAAGGTATGCGCAA